TGGGAGGCTGAGCGAGCGGAAGGACTAGGAGACGCTGTGCTGAGCGCCGTGGAGGCGCCCAGGTGCAGAGGCTTGTCTGTATGACTCAGGAAGGAGCAGCTGGGGCTGTTGAGGAATGAGACGCAAGCTCCAAAACAGAAACTAAGACAACGCAGGATGGACAGCGGGCCTAGGGGGCCAGCAAACGGAGGAGGCTGGGTAAGAGGAGCGGGAAGACAGCGGCTTCTGGGAAGTCAGAAAAGAGTCAGAGGTTGGGAAATGCGGTCTTCCTCAGCTTCCCCTTCTACAACTTGGGAGTAATGACCGTGCCCCCTTCCCAGGCCTGTCTGTGCGGGTTAACACGCAGAGTTTAGAATGCTGCCTGGCACGGGGTAAATGCCCAGCTCACTTTTATTTGTGTCAAGAAGGAGCATAGAAAGTCAGGGAAGTTGAGTGTGGAAAAATCAGGGTGCGACTCAGATGACTGGCTAAGGGCCTGGGCTGCGCGATGTTGAGGAGGGGATCCGTACACGCAGGGAGAAGACTCAGCAAGCACAGCGGGCAGGGTGTGAGGGCCTGAGGAGGCTGGCTCCGGCGCCTCTCTGAGCATGTTATCACTCTGAGCAGGTCCAGGGACTCCCCTGGGGTCTGTTGTCCGAGGTCCCTTCCGAGCGCTGCCCTGCGGAGCGGTGCAGAGCTGAGGGAGAAGGCTGTGCCGGCGGCATGGCGATGGCCTGGGTGCCAGGGGAGCCGGTGAAGGGAGACACCAGCGAAGATGCCGGGGTTCTGGCAGGATGGGGAGGATGAGAAGAGGAGCAGGTTTGGAGGAAAGATGACCTTCATTTAAACACACAGGCCTTGCCCTGGCCAGTTTGGCTCAGTGGATAGAGCATTGGCCTGAGGACCGAAGGGTCCCGGATTTGATTCCGGTCAAGGGCATGTACCTTGGTTGCAGGCTCCTTCCTGGCCCAGGCCCTGGTTGGGGGTTGTGCAGGAGGCAACCAATCAATACATTTCTCTCACATCAACGTTTCTCTCTGTGTTTCTCTCTCTCTGCCACTCTCCCTAAAAATCAATGAAAAATGTCCTCAGGTGAGGATTGGGGGAAAAAGGAGGAGGAGGAGGAGGAGGAGGAGGAGCAGCAGCAGCAGCAGCAGCAGAAGAAGAAAATAAACATACAGGCCTTTAGCTTTATTAGGCTTCACAGATTTTGGTGTTTTTTTTTTACAAATAGAAAATGTTACACATTTTTACAAATGTACTTCCTTCACCAGCAAAAGCATTAGGACTCGCTTTATTGCAATATTCACTTTATCGCGGTGGTTAGGAACTGAGCCCGCAGTTTCTCCGAGGTAGACCTGTGCTGAGTTTGAGAGTAACACATCTCAATAGAAATAAACGTCCAGGAGATGATTCAAAACGTGGATCTTGATTCTGGGAACCATTCGCAGGGCAGTGGCTGGAAGCCCTGAGAGGATGCCACCAAATCTTCAATGTGACTGAGTGGTTTGCCTCTGAGGTCCTCCGTACCAGAGAGGACCCTGAGGGCGGGGAGCAAGGCAACAAGAAGATGGGACGGCGAAAGTAAGCACTGGAGCCGACAGATAAGGGAGCCTGTGGCTGCCCTTAGAGGTGTCGGACGGAGATCCCGATTTCAAAGCTGCTGCCGGTGGAAGGTTGCGGCTTCATCCTGGGTCTCGGCCTCAGTTCTAGGCCCTGGCTCTGGCAGGAAGCCAACCCACTTCCTCTCTAGGTTGTCCTGGCTACTGCTGTGGCCTTTCTTTCTCTGTTTTTCCCCCTCTTCTCCCCCTCGGGAGGCTCCTGCAACCCGAGGAGTCATCCCAGCCATCTTGCCGCTGGCCCCTAAGTTTAAAAACTGGTTATATTTTAAGTGTGTCAAGTCAGAAATGTTGGCTTTGAAACACAATTGCAGTGCTGCATATCATTTAGCCCTATCGTTAGGGGCCGAGACCTAGGGGCTGACGTGGATGTTTTTGAAACATCAAGTCCATCAGCGGCTCCGGGTCCACTGGGAGGCCCGGGGTGTTGGGCAAGGGGCGGCAGCGGAGACTGAGATGAGGGAGAACGCGGTGGTGGCTGCAGTGGTGGTACTGGCAAATAGCCACAAATTTCCAAAGTGATTGGAATTCTCGAGGTCAACTAGGCTGAGTCCCCGGGGCAATAGGGCAGTATCTATTTTATAACCTCTCCGAGATGGGGAATTTCCAAGGGTCTAGTGCCGATGGGCAAACTTGGCTCTACCTCGCAACTCATTCAGTCAACCACCACTAACCGAGCAACGAGCTCGGGCCCAGGGCCAGGTTAGGGGACACCATCGTAGTAAGGAACATTATGTCTAAGCCTCTGTCAGAAGATCAACATTGAGAGGGGGAAGAGGGAGGGGGGATAATAAGAATTAGGCCTTGCAAACCCAGACGGGAATTCAAACTTGGGACTCTTGAGCAAAAGTCTCCTCCTCCAATGCATACATTTCCTTTTCCTTCCAGCCCTCTGCCAGGTGCAGTTCTTTAGGTACCACCCCCCCTGGACTCAGGGTTCAGCCCCCTTCTCCCAAGTCTTGCTGATTTTTTTCCCCTCCTGAGTCTAATTCTAAAATCATCTTTTTCTTTTTTCTAAAAATATATTTTATTGTTTTTTTTCTTTTTTCTTTACAGAGAGGAAGAGAGAGGAATAGAGAGCTAGAAACATCGATGCAAGAGAAACATCCATCAGCTGCCTCTTGCACACTTCCCACTGGGGATGTGGCCGCAACCAAGGTACATACATGCCCTTGACCGGAATGGAACCTGGGACCTTTTAGTCCACAGGCCTACACCCTATCCACTGAGCCAAACCGGTTTCGGCAAATCATCTTTTCCTTGAAAATGTCACACTAATCACAAAGAGGAAGCTGCACATGTGCCCCCTCCGGGTCCTCTTCCTCCTCCAAGTCTTTACAGGACGGAGCTGTGCCCATCTCGTTTCCCAGAGACTCTTCTACCCCAGCTGTTTTCAAGCTTCGTTCGTCCTTAGCCGCATCTAGTTTTGTCCTGGAGACCATTTCTGTTCCTCCAGGCACCAGGCCAAGTGACCCATTCAAGGCTGATAAAGTGTCAGTGACCTAGGCACAGGAAGTGGTGGGAGGTGAAGGACATTTCTGGAGGGCTCTAAAATAACTCCTTTCCCTCGTGTCCCTGACCCAGGACAACCTGCTGATTCCAGATACGTCAGCGGCTCTGGGCTCGCTGGACTAGAGGAAAGAGAATCAGGCGACACCGTCTCTGACCGGTGGTAGAACATCAATCGCCGTCTGGGCCTCAGTTTCCTGCTTTGTGAAAGGATCTTAGAGGCACCCTCCCGCACTGATGGGCTGGGAGACGGCACCTGGCTCGGCTGGTCTCCGGGCAGCCTTGAAAAGCTGAGGCACCTCATGTCACTGGCAGTCTGGACAGCCTGCTTTCCAGGATCCAGTTCTGTTTCCAATAGTAGTTCTCAGACCTGCTTGGACTTGAATCTGCTTCGGGTTTCCAGGAGACACGAAGCCTAATGTGTGTAATCCTTTAAGACCTAGACCCTCCTTCTCCCAGAGCAGAGCTGGGAACGGACTGGCCCTTTGAGGAAATGCATTCTGGGGGTTCCAGGTTATATGGAGGGGACATGGGCTTGGGACTCTAAATAGGAAACTTCTGGAAGATACTGGGTGAGGGCTGGGGTGAGTGGGAAGGCCAAAGGAGCTAGGTTACTCAAGGCAGAGCCTGAGCTTAGGAGTTACCAGACCAGAGCACGGAGGACAAGCTGGTGACGGTCCCAGGCCCGGGAAGGCCAGTCTGGGCGATGCACACCAGCTCACTGTACACACAGGCGGCAAGCCGGTCCCCTCACCCAGCTGTTCCAGCCCCATAGGAACTCCTGTAGTTTTCTTTGGCTCAGAGGCAGCAGCGTCCCCTGAGCCCGGGCCCCCCTCTACCACAAAGCAACTGGCTTCCATTACCCCTGTCAGCTCCAGCCCAGCCCCCCGCCCAGCCTGGCTCAGTGCCGTTCCCTTTTATGGTGAAGCTGAGGGAAGGGAAAGCAAGGGGTGAGGATGGAGCAGTTTCTGGCTTGGCAGAGGGTTATTGAGCCTCGGAGTGCTTCTCCCCTCACCAGACCCTGGACATCTACCCCCAGTCATCTTTATTCTTTCTCCTCCGTGACCCTGCTCTGCTCTGCTCGGAACCCACGGCCCCCCTTGCTGATCCCAGCCATTCCTCCCCCCTTCCCTTCCCTCACATCCAGGGGGTGATTTCCCACTTGGCCCAAGTCCCACGGTTTGGGTTTAGGTTTAGGTTTAGGGAGGGTCCGCCCTATTTCCGACGCCTACCTCGGGGGGGGATGGAGGTGGGAGGGAGCCAGGGTAAGGGAGGCACCGATCAGGTCGCAGGCAGGATCGTTCAAAGTGTAGGGTATGGGGCGGAAAGGCGGCTCCGAGGAGAGGAGCACCCAGTTGCCCCAGCCTTTGCTCCATTCGGCACCGCCTCTCATCCCTCACCCCACCACCCGGGCCAGGGAGGGGACCCCGAGGGCAGGGCCCAAAGGAAGCACCTGGCTGGGCCTGGCCGGGCCGGGAGCGGGTGAGCAGTATCGTGGGGGGTCGGGACAGGAAGGGGTGTCAGAGTCTAAGGTCAGGCCAAGCCTCCCGCCCAGCCCCGCTGCCGCACTCTCGCCCTAGCACCCCGCGGCTCCGGGGAGGCGGTCACAGCGCCGTTAAACACGTCCCCCGCCGCGCCAGCTGCGCCCAGCTGCGCCCCGCTGGCCTGAGGCGCGCCACCCCGCGGCCGCCCCACCCGGGCCACGCCCCTCGCGCGCCACCCCGCGGCCGCCCCACCCCAGGCCACGCCCCTTGTGAGCTCCCTGCGGGAGAGCAGGCGAGACGGCGGGGCTAGAGAGACCGACCTGACCGGAAGTGCCTGTCCTGGAACTGAGCTGGCGTAACAAACTTCCGGCTCAGATCTCCTACCTGGAGCTAGTTCCATACCGCGAGGGAACCGAGCGCAGCTGGTCAGGTGAGAGGCGGGCGGGTGACCAGGGGGCCGAGGACGGGCCCAGGTCTGGGCAGGGAGTGTGCCGGCCCCGAGGCTCAGCCCGTCTCTTCTCCGCAGGATGATTACCGACGTGCAGCTCGCCATCTTCGCCAACATGCTGGGCGTGTCGCTCTTCCTGCTTGTCGTTCTCTATCACTACGTGGCCGTCAACAATCCCAAGAAGCAGGAATGAAAGTGGCGCTTTCTCCGCCCCAGGTAACGGTCTGGGGGTGTAGCGCCCAGCCCCCGGATTGACGAGGCCTTGCCAGGGCCTGCAGGGTTCAAAACTTCAAATCAGACAGTGGGGGCCAAGCATGCTACAGTCCGCACAGAGAAGAGAGTGCCTTGCAGTGCCTTTTCCCTCCCGCCCCTTTAAACTGTTCCCTGGGGTGCGTTTCCTAGTCCCCAGATGCCCAAGTTGGGGGTATGGGTACAAGGTGGCACTGACACAGGTAGGAATTAGGGTACTGAGGATGCATCCACCAATGAGGATTTGAGCTCTTCTTCACTTAAACAGTCCTCACTTTCCCAAGATTATTTACACTTATTTAGGCAGATTTTTTTGTGTGTGTGAGTGAGGGATTGTAAAGATATAGAATTTTATTTCCATGTTCTGGGGCAAGAGACACTGATTAGGGGTTATCGGCTATAGACCCAAGTCATAGAGAAGAAATGGGGAAGGGGCTGAAGGGCTTGGAAACCAACCTTTACTGTAGGTCACAATGTAAAGGGGAGAGAGGGTGGATGGGAGTTGATTCCGGAGGACTTCTCCAGAGTAAAACTCTGCATTTTCCTTACCTCAGGTCTTTCCCCTCTTTTCTAGGGTTCCAGGACATAGTCTGAAGCAAGATGGAGGGTGTGAGGGGCCTTCACACTTCATCCCTTCTACCAATCACAGCATATAAAGCAACTACACCTGGATTTTTCCAAACAACTTTTATTTCCTCAAAGTCTTCTTTAACCCTATGGAACAAGAAGCTGCCACTGAACAGGACCCAGTATAGGGGCTGCTTTCTTTTCTACTCTCTCCCCCCGATATAAAAATATAGATTTTTGTGGTCCCAAAATCTTGTGCTGTGGAGGGAGGGAGGGGTGACACATTCCCTGCTTTGTCCTGTCTCAGGGTGGTGCTGTGATGCCTCAGCACGGTGTGACTGGCATTCCAAGGAGTTGTCGCATGGAATCAGCAGCTGAGGAAGGGGACTAGCACATTGCTCACAGTGTTCCCCATCTTGTGGCTATATCCTGGGCATGAAGGTCAAGGCATCAGACCCGGGGAGAAACAGTGAATGGGGGAGATTTAGGGACAAAACAAACCTCAGGTTGGCCCGCGGGCCCCCCGCTGTAACAAGTCCGAGACTGGGAGTCAGACAGACTACAGGAAATAGGAGAAATGGCAGGGGCAGAGTAGGGCCGTGGAGGCGTGGCCCGAGGCAGCCTGCAACAGAAAAGAGGAATTAGGGTTGTGAAAAGTGTGCCCCCCCTCTGGTCTGTTAGCCAGGAGAGAGAGGTGAGAGAGGTGGGATGGGCAAGGATAGGCACAGTATTGAGTATGTACAGTGGTCTGATGCTGGAACCTGCCAGGTCCTAACAGTTGTTTTCTTATTCACTGGAGTGAAGACTGAGGCCATGATGGGGGAAAAAACAGGTACTAGATTCCTAATGAAAGTACATTTAGTCTTTTGAGGTGTCAAAGATTCGGGAAGGAAGAAAATGATCCTGAATGGCAGAATTGGGAATGAGGGGGTAGAAACAAGAAGTGGGGTGAGGGGCAATCTGCTCACCCTGGTGCCGAGCGGGGTCCCGGCTTTGGCTCACTGCTCTCCCTGGTCCAGAGGATAGGGGATGTGGGGCCCGAAGAGCCTCTCATCCCTCTGCAAGTCGGCGGTGAGCCCCAGCCCAACCTGGGCCTAGCCTGTGGACAGGGGGTGGGCTAAGAAGCTGGGTTCTTCCGTGAATATTTGTGCTTCTAGAGTTCCCATGAGTAATGCTGTAGTTTAGCAGTCAACACAGGTACTAGGACCTTTATTTCCTAGGCACTGTCCTAGCTGAGAGGGTAATATTGGGTTCAGTCTATACCTATATACTCTGAGTCATATTTAACTAGGGGAGGCAAAAGGATCCACCATTTAACCTCCATGGCTATATCATGGCCAAGATTTGTACCAAATCAAGTACTGTGTAGAAAGCTGTTGGAGGATTGGAGATCTTTCTCAGAAACTTCTGTGCCTCAGCCCCTGCCAGACCAGCTTACGTTTCTCCCATCCATTCACCTTCTGCCTGTACCCAACTTTAGCCAACCTAGCATGGGGGTCTGGACTGAATTGGAGTTGGTGGCACAGCTGTTCCTAGGAGCAGCAATCAGATGTGTTACCTGGGGAATCCGGGACCCCTCCTGGCGGGAACTCTCCTCGGGCAGGTCTGGGCAGAAAGAGAGGAGAAACTAAGGGTGGGGGCAGACAAAGCCAAAGCTAGCAGGCTGAGGTTGGGCTTTATCTGGCAGGGACATGGGGTTGAAAGCAAGCAGGAGACCTGGCTTGAAGGGGATGGGACACTGGGCAGACAGGCACTCAGACACCAGAACAGCTCTCTTAAATGGCTGGGGGAGAGGTAAAGCAGTGCTGGGCATTTCCCCTCCTACTACCCAGATGAACAGCTGCTTGTTGGGTTCTGCCATAGTTGTTATGCTGGGGACTGGGAAGACCCAAAAATGTTACCTGTAATCGGGTCCTGATACAGGGGATCCGAGGCCCAGTTCCTAGTAGACCTTTCCCAATCACCATGACAGCCTCTGGCTTGTCCCCTGAGGACAGGAGTGAGCAGTTGCTCCCTGAGAACAAAAGAAACTTATCAGGGTAGGGGCCATGGAGAAGTGGGAACTTCTGTTAGATCAGTTTCTCAGTATTGACATTTTGGGCTAGATAATTCTTTGTGCCACTGTAGGATGTTTAGCAGCATCCCTGGCCTCTACCCATTAGATGGTGTTCTTCCTGCCCTCCCCTTTTGTAACAACCCAAAAGTTCTGCAGACATTGCCTCATGTGCAGAGGCGGTGAGGCGGTCGCCCTTGGTTAAGAAGCTTGGCATACTCTAGTCTTGTTCAGGGGTTGGAGCCGCAAATCAGAGCTTGAGTTAGTCTGAATTTATAGACCGTAAGCCTGTTCCAATCAAATGTGTGAGCATTTAAGGATCAAGTCAGCAGTACCCAAGATGGGTTGAGGAATACCCAATTGAGAAAGTTAACGGATGAGAAGCAGGCTCTGAGGGAGGTACAAGATGCTGGACTGGAGTCTTAGAAATCATTCCTACGCAGTCCTTCATACAGCTGGGTTATAACAGAGAGCAGATGGCTAAGGTTCTGTGTGCTCGATAAGGCCACACATTTGCGGTGATGGCAGGCCTATCCTTTTTTTCATTCTGCAGTTTAATGTCCAGCTCCTGGAGTCAGGGAGCTTCAATAAGTAGCAGGAAGGAAAAATCATAATGCTCCTCAACCATAAAAGTGAGGATTAAATGAGATAATGAGTTTATAGCAGTGCCTGCCACATAGTAAATGCTCAATAAATGGTAACTGCTATTTTATTATACAAAGATATTTAATAAATTCCAGCTTCCTGTACAAGGGCATGGGTGTTTGGGGTTTAGGATAATCTGGGCGATAACTGATGTCCCTGGTCTAGAGAGGCCTATATCACATCAAGCCCTAGCTGGTTTGGCTCAGTGGATAAAACATTGGCCTGCAGGAACAAAAGGTCCCAGGTCCGATTCCGATTAAGGGCATGTACCTTGGTTGCAGGCTCCTCTCCAATCAGGGCTCATGCAGGAGGCAACCAATCACATTGCTGTTTGTGTCTTTCCCTCTTTCCCTCTCTCTTCCACTCTTCCTAAAAATCAATGGAAAAAATATTCTTGAATGAGAATTAACAAAAAGCAAAAAAAAAAAGGAGGTCCAGGTCTGATGGCAAAGGAGCTGCAGGGATTTCCTCACGAGCTTGTCTACACTCTGCATGGTGAGGAAGGAAGGAGGCTGGCAGTGCAGTACCAACCGGATATGCCGAGTGAGCTGGGCAGTAGGCAGGAACCCAGGTTGCGAGAGGAGGCTGGGCTAGAAATGGCAGGCGTTGGGGGTGAGGCCAGGCTGCTTGAAGGAAGGCGATAGCCGAGTGGCTGCTGCCGCCGTCTCCTGTCCTGGCTTCGGGGCTCTGAGTGGAAGGGACACAAGCAGAGAGGGCAAGTGAGTGAGGCACTCATCCACCATCCCCGTCTCTCCTTGGTCAGAAGATGCCGGTTTCCAGACTTGCCACACCAGCGTCCCTTGTCTGAAGAAATGCAAGATGAGTAGAAAGTCCTCTAATACTTATTCCAGTTCCCAGCTAGCCCTCATGCTCACTTCTCTGGCTAACCAGCTTACCCACAGCTCATTCTTTTGGCAAAGGAATTATTGAGCTTGGCTTCTAAACAGCTTTCCTAGGTTCTCCTCTTACCTCTAACTGCTCTTCAATTAATCTTCCTGCCCCTTAAACTGTGGTGTTCCCTACCATTCTATCCTTGGTCCTCTCTTGCTCAGCATATTTTAAACTCTCAGATCTCCCTCTATCCCTTTTCTCCTGAGCTGAAGTTCTAACTGTCCACTGGACACTTTTCTGCCTGGCAAACTCCCAAACAAAATCCATTTTCTCCCACCCTTTCTTTTGTTCTCCCTGTCCTCAGGAAGATCTTGCTAGAGACCTTGTTTCATCTTTTAACTCTTCCCGCACATTTATATTTGTGTTTAACCAAATCTGGACAATTCTTCCTCCTCCTTCATTTGAATTTCTTGATTCTCTCTTGCAATTGACAGTGTCCAGATACAGGTCTTTAGAGCTCATTCAGGCTTTTGAAAAATATTCTCCACTGGCCCCCTCCTTCCTTTTTACAATCCATTCTTTATGCAGATGCCAGGAATTGTTATTCTAAAACACAGGCCTGATCAAAAAATCATTTAGGCTCTGAGAAGGGGAGATACTTTTAAAGGACACAGTCTAAACCTTGTACGCAGCATTGAAAGCTCTGCCCACTGATTCGGGTCTACTCATCCTCAGAAGGATGCCAACTGACTTGATCCTTCACATCCTCTGCTACCAACCACCCCTGAGGCTCCGAGCTGTCCGGTTCCTCTAAAATGTCTTGTCGCCTAGGGCAGCGTTTTTCAACCGCTGTTCCGCGGCACACTAGAGATGTTGCCTGGTGTGCCGTAGGTGCAGACAAGACAAGAATTTTATAATTTTTCACTATTTTGTTTACTTAATATTTCATAATAAAGTAATTATAAAATACTTTCTTTGTGTTTATTTGATTCCTATTCAAGAGAATTACTTTATATATAGTCAATATAGGCACAGAGTTAAATTTTTTAACATTTTCTAATGGTGGTGTGCCTCGTGATTTTTTTCATGAAACAAGTGTGCCTTTGCCCAAAAAAGGTTGAAAAACACTGGCCTAGCGAAACCTTGGATATCTTGTGAGTCCCATCTCAAATGTCACCTCTGTGAGACCTCCTTGACCATTACTGGTAGAATTAACTGTTCTCTTCATTGTCCTTTATTCATGTGGCTAGTAATTATTTATGGTTTCTCCCTCATTAAATAATTTAGTGCATGTAAAGGACTTAAAATAGTATCTGGCACATACAAAGAACTCAATAAATGTTTGCCAATATTCTAATTAGAACTTGAGTCCCTTGAGGGTAGGGACTTACTCTAACACTTTGTATGCTGGGTACCAAGTAGAGGCTAAGAATCAGAAACAACCAGAACTTAGGGGGCCAGGAAGAGTTGGTACAGCAATGCCAACAAGACAAAAGTCAGAGACTCAATGCCAGTCAGGTTACCTGCAACATTACCCACCACAGAGACGCAGTACAGCCCAGACCTGGGTAATCCTTTGGTTAAAACAGGGATGTCGCTATGATTTCCAAGTGACAGTGAACAGTAGGCAGAAATAACGAACGTGGTAGAGGGGGAAAGAGCCGGGTTCTAGATGGTCTGAGGGACCTCCATATACAGACGCATGGTGAA